ATCCCCAATCCCTGCGGCCTGGGGCCCAACAACACTCGGACGACCTTGAAAATCCTACCTGGCGCTGCACCCTTACCGCCTTTTCCCTGACACGCCCGGGAAGAGGATGAAGTCGTCCGAGGGCAACGAGCAGGGCGAACCCACACTGCCGCCTCGTGCCATCGTCGACCTCCTCTGCACGCTCGCCGCCCTGTCCCCATCGCAGCTCGCGCTCGCCATCACCCAAAAGCCCGAGATCGGCACGCTGGCCACATCGGCGCTGCACCAGCTTGCCCTCTGCACCGTCTCGCAACCGCTGCCAGCTCCGAGTGCCGTGCAACACGATGCCACCTCGGCCATCCTCACCATCCTGACAGCGCTCATCGAACGGGGAGACCCTTCCCTGGCGCGCAAGCTCATCCCCACCCCCGGATCCGTCATCGATCTGACCCTCTGCGCTGCGGCCTCCCGGGCAGGCCAGGCCCGAGACGTGCTGGAACGCCTGCTCGACGTACACACCACCGCGGAGCTCGTCGAGGGTCTCGAGGCGCAGATCAACCAGCGCCTCGCGTTCGATCCTGCAAAGGTCGACGAAGATTCAGCTGCCTACCGATGTGCGTCGCTGCGGAGCGCGGCGAGGATTTTGGCCTCTTTCCTCACTGCCTGTCCCCTTCCGACGCTAAGGGAGTCGCACGCCGCTATCCGATCTCTGGTCACGGTGCTGTCGAGCGTCTACCTCGACACGCTTCCGGCCATGGCCCAGGTACTTGGAAACGTCGACGCGGCTCAGCTGGATGGTTCGGCGTTCGAAGCCGCCCCCTGGCAGCTGCATTGGCTCACCGCCAAGGTCGACCTGCTGCAGGCCATCTACAGGCTCCTCTGGGTCTGCCTTGATCGGTCCTCACCGCTCGCACAGCATGACGAACTCAAGTCGACCGTTCTCGTTACGGTGGCACGGCCGATAGCATCGGTCAACGGCCGCTCGGGAGCATCAATACCGCTCCTGACGGCGGACCTGCTCGAGGACCTCACCTCGTGCTTTGCACTCGGCCCGCTCGTTGCCAGCGCAGGTCTCCAAAATGCCAAGGCCAAGGCTGTCGTGACGCGGATAGACAGTCTAGAGTCCAACCGCAGCTCGATGGCAACGAGCAAGTTCACAGGCGCAGGCTGGGCTGCCCTGCAGAGGGTCGTCCGTCAGCGATCACAGGCCAGCGAGGCCAAGGGCAAGAGCAGGCACATGGACGGCGCAGAGGCGACCGGCCAGGCTGGCTTCAGTCCGGACGAGACCCTGCTCGTCACCGTCAACTCGATCCTGCCGCACCTCGAGATGGACCGATTGCGCGTCATCCTGGCTCGACCTTCGTTCCGAGGCCAGTCGGCGGAAGAGGTCATCCAGCGGCTGCTCGAGGGCGACGAGGGCGAGCAGGACGCCCGGCCGGCAGCCGCTGCACCGGCGACGCCTGCTCCGAGACCCACATCGCCGACATACGTACCGCCGGAGCCGACGGCCACATCGACACGGAAGCTGGTCAAGTCGCGGGCCAACGTGTTTGACGACGTGCCTCTGGACCTGTCGAAAGCGTCGTGGAACCAGGCCAAGGGCAAGGACAAGGACGTGGGAGCGCTCAGCTCGGACCTCAAGGCGGCCATCCTGGCTCGAGCCGAGGCCAACAGCGATGACGAGGACGAGGAGTGGAACCCATTTGCCGAGGCGGCTCAGCAGAGGACGATTGGCGTCGAAGACGAGCTGGAGCTCGACTACGAGGGCCGAGAGCTGGCAAGGGCGGGTCGTCGTGGCGGCGGCGGGGGTGACGACGACGACGACGACGGAGAAGGAGAAGACGGCGGAGCAGAGCCAGAGGGCCTGCAGCGGCGCATGGGGACGGTCAACCTCAA